CCCCCCCCCCCAAATAATACAATTGGCCCTTAAAAACAGCTATGACAAGACCTGTATGACTTCATTTAACATCTTGCTCACCATGCTGTGCTGGCTGTAAGGAGCACTGGAGGAGGACTGGGACAGTGATGCTGTCTGCTTTGAGTTGCTGAACACAAGAGACTGAGACAGAGATGGTGGCTGTGGGCCTTCAAGTGAAGCAGGCTCTGCCTCTGAGGAAGAGGAAGGAGGTGTCTTCCCCAGCAACACAGCCAGATCAATCCTGAACATCAAACAAGCTTATGTCCATAACGTTCTCATATGCCACGACAGCAGCACATGTATAAATATTTAGAATTGGGTTGTGAAAATCTAGACACCACAGTATTATTGAAATTGCATTCCTTCTAAATAAAATTATAGCCTGCATTCAAAATGTAGACTTTCGATAGTAGTGACCAATCAAATATTTGGGGTTAGTAGGAATTTATTTATTTATTTTTTTAAATCCTTATTCCGCTAGGATGCATTTTGTTACAAAATAATAAAGAATAAATAAAGTGTCACAGTTTCCACAATAATATTAAGCAGCATAACGGTTCAACAAAACAGAAATGTTTCTTGAGCAAATCAGCATATTAGAAAGACTTCGGAAAGACCATGTGACACTGAGGACTGGAGCAATGGCTTCTGAAAATTCAGCTTTGCCACATCATGAATAAATTACATTTCAAATTATATTTAAATATTAAATACAGTTAAACATTTTTTTATTAATTTAATATAAATGTTTTTTACTGTATTTTTGTTCAAAAATGCAGCCTTCATTACAATAAGAAAAAAACAACCCCAAACTTCTGAATGGTATGACAGGCCAAAAATAATTATATGGAAAGCGAATTTCTCAGATGCTCTGAAATAGACACTGGCTTACCTCTGTCCAGCTGTAATGGTGACATTCTCCTGTGGAATGGGCATGGACGCCACACTGGAGGCAGTAAATATCTTGGTCTCTGACAACTAAACCGAGAACCAGAGTTAGATTTGCTCATACTAAAAACCTGCTTTACAGTTTAAGACTCTGTTCAAATACTCACATCCTCATTCCAGTCCTCCATGCCCCACTCTTCTGTGGCAGTTCTCCAAGCACCTGTTATACAGATATTTAGCTCACAATGACAACAGGTGAACAAATCCTTAGCAAAACAGCCAATGCAAGACTCACCAGGGGCCGAGTCAAACTTTCGAGGATAGTTTGTTCCCTCTCCACCTGTAAACTCAAGCCCTGTGGAAACAGATTCATGTCAGAACATCCACCCTTACATATGCGTTTTAAATGGACTGTGTACTTCAGCCAGAAGAAAGGCCAACACTGACAGGAACTGAAGGAAGGGTTTACAAGAGACACTTATGGCATCACTCACTGTTTCCATCCTCGGGTTCCAGGTTGCCCGTGTTACTCCAAGTGCTGCCGCTTGTGTAGCTCTCTTCTGTTTGGGCTGGCTCAGTGTAGTCCGCTGGGTTAAATGTACTAAAAACAAATGAAAATTTAGTTTGAGCAAACACAGTGAATGAGGGAGGCAAGAAATAATGTAAGCGACCATCAGTAACAATGTGCAAAAATCACTCCAACAGTTCCACTAAAAACACTCCTATGTCGTGCTAATTGCAATTATACCAAAGACGCAAATGTGCTTTCCAATCACTCTCAAACCCGGAAAACAAACCGGTGGAAACTAAACACATATGAAGCTCAAACTGATGCATTCTTCAATAACTAATCGCTATAAACCCTTTTGATCCTACACAAACAAAACCAACACGCTCATAAATGTATTTAACTCACCTCTCATCTCCTGACAAATCATATCTGGGGCTCTTATCAATCTGGCTTTAGGGAGAAACAACAGGGAGAATTACAAGCAACTCAACACAGGCAGAAAGACGGGGGTGCATGGTGTGAACAAAGATGTGCTTGAGTGCGTGCGCGAGACAGAGAGAGAGCGATGGCAACCATCATGCTCACGTCCATTACTGGTCAAACCACCACACCTGCTCTACAGGTATAAAATAAAAAGACAATGCTTTAGAAGGAAACAGCTAAGCTAGTGGTGTGACTTGCCAACTCAAACGATGCTAAACTGGTACTCTGCCAGTTCGGAGGCCAAGAATTGAAAACCAAACATGCAAAATCCAAAAGCACACTTCAAACCAAACAAGCGAAAGGGGCCAGTAAGAAGCCTGACTGCAAGTCAAAGAAAAGTGACCAAACGGCCTTGACAGAAACAGAAAACCGGTCCAGGGTCGTAACATGACTAGATTCTAGATTAGGGCTGGGCGATATGTCAAAAATATATTTTCGATAATAGCCTTATAAAATATTGCGATATCCGATAACAGTCTACCCAAGCCCCACCTCCACCACGCCCTGCCCCCACCGAGACAACATTGCCGACATGCACCGTAAACACACACCATGTTCAGTTTGGTCTTAATTATAGCCACCATTAAAGTTTGGCTTTACTTTTCTTAGTTTGTGCTTAAACTAACAGAAAACATTAGTTTCTCAGATGCTCTGAAATAGACACTGGCTTACCTCTGTCCAGCTGTAATGGTGACATTCTCCTGTGGAATGGGCATGGACGCCACACTGGAGGCAGTAAATATCTTGGTCTCTGACAACTAAACCGAGAACCAGAGTTAGATTTGCTCATACTAAAAACCTGCTTTACAGTTTAAGACTCTGTTCAAATACTCACATCCTCATTCCAGTCCTCCATGCCCCACTCTTCTGTGGCAGTTCTCCAAGCACCTGTTATACAGATATTTAGCTCACAATGACAACAGGTGAACAAATCCTTAGCAAAACAGCCAATGCAAGACTCACCAGGGGCCGAGTCAAACTTTCGAGGATAGTTTGTTCCCTCTCCACCTGTAAACTCAAGCCCTGTGGAAACAGATTCATGTCAGAACATCCACCCTTACATATGCGTTTTAAATGGACTGTGTACTTCAGCCAGAAGAAAGGCCAACACTGACGGGAACTGAAGGAAGGGTTTACAAGAGACACTTATGGCATCACTCACTGTTTCCATCCTCGGGTTCCAGGTTGCCCGTGTTACTCCAAGTGCTGCCGCTTGTGTAGCTCTCTTCTGTTTGGGCTGGCTCAGTGTAGTCCGCTGGGTTAAATGTACTAAAAACAAATGAAAATTTAGTTTGAGCAAACACAGTGAATGAGGGAGGCAAGAAATAATGTAAGCGACCATCAGTAACAATGTGCAAAAATCACTCCAACAGTTCCACTAAAAACACTCCTATGTCGTGCTAATTGCAATTATACCAAAGACGCAAATGTGCTTTCCAATCACTCTCAAACCCGGAAAACAAACCGGTGGAAACTAAACACATATGAAGCTCAAACTGATGCATTCTTCAATAACTAATCGCTATAAACCCTTTTGATCCTACACAAACAAAACCAACACGCTCATAAATGTATTTAACTCACCTCTCATCTCCTGACAAATCATATCTGGGGCTCTTATCAATCTGGCTTTAGGGAGAAACAACAGGGAGAATTACAAGCAACTCAACACAGGCAGAAAGACGGGGGTGCATGGTGTGAACAAAGATGTGCTTGAGTGCGTGCGCGAGACAGAGAGAGAGCGATGGCAACCATCATGCTCACGTCCATTACTGGTCAAACCACCACACCTGCTCTACAGGTATAAAATAAAAAGACAATGCTTTAGAAGGAAACAGCTAAGCTAGTGGTGTGACTTGCCAACTCAAACGATGCTAAACTGGTACTCTGCCAGTTCGGAGGCCAAGAATTGAAAACCAAACATGCAAAATCCAAAAGCACACTTCAAACCAAACAAGCGAAAGGGGCCAGTAAGAAGCCTGACTGCAAGTCAAAGAAAAGTGACCAAACGGCCTTGACAGAAACAGAAAACCGGTCCAGGGTCGTAACATGACTAGATTCTAGATTAGGGCTGGGCGATATGTCAAAAATATATTTTCGATAATAGCCTTATAAAATATTGCGATATCCGATAACAGTCTACCCAAGCCCCACCTCCACCACGCCCTGCCCCCACCGAGACAACATTGCCGACATGCACCGTAAACACACACCATGTTCAGTTTGGTCTTAATTATAGCCACCATTAAAGTTTGGCTTTACTTTTCTTAGTTTGTGCTTAAACTAACAGAAAACATTAGCTTTGCTGTCATGTTGGTGTTGCTAATAATTTCCACTCTGTTCTTATCAAATTTGTGTTTGAAATGAATTTCGTTTTGTGAGGAGAACTGTTTTTCTTCATTCTTCAATTTTAAGTTCATCATGGTGAAGTTGGACATTCTGGCGGTGATTGTAAGAATGATGAATGCATGTTGATGTCATATAGTAATGTCTTGAATAAAATATGCCTATTTTCCGATGTATCTCTTTATTTTTGGCATTATCGCCTGTGCAGACACATTTCATGATGGTAAGTTTAATTTCGTTGATTATAACAATTGTAGCGTTGTTTTTAAACTTGTAGTCAAACTATAAAGTAGGCTATTTGATATTGATCATGTATGACTAAAATCATGCAGGGATTAAAAACGAATTCCGAGCAAAAACGTTAAGGTTTCTAGTTCGGAGGTCTCTTTTGGCCCGTTTTTTAACTAAATAATTGTTTTAGTTATTTAGAAGCAGGGGTAAATTAAATTTCATTTTTGTATTTTAATTTTTATGATTTTCATTTTATTAAATCAAAATATAACACCCACAATATAATATTCAGTGTTGGGCTGCCGAAACTCCGAACGCACATGTTGAGGAGCGAGCTGAGCCTAGTAGCCTAATGTCTTAATCCGTTTGCAACAAAACTTTACAGCAGGGCTCTGAACCGGTTCAACGAACGAAAACTGGAAACGAATGAAATTGACAGGAACAGAACCAGAAACAAAACCAAATTTTATAGTTTCAAACAGAATCGAACATTTGAAATGGCCATTTGCCGTCAACCAATCGCGAAGTCCAGTAGTACGGCCTATGCAAATGTGACGATGATGCATCCAACGAGTGAAATGCCCGCTCAGCTGTGAACTCATCATGGTTAAGTCGCAATGGCAATGCCGGCGTTAAGAGTTTATCCGAGGATAGTGTAAGGAGGATTCAACAGATCACACGCACCTGCAGCGCTTCTGTGAACGGAGAAAACAGAATCAAACTATAGGCTTACATAAAAAGGAATAAAGGCATATACACAAAATATTACACTTAAATCATTGACAGATTAACAAAACGAAAGAAAAAAAATGTGCCAAGTTACTGTTCATTGTGACGCATTCCAAAGTTCTCAGAAAGGAAAATGAGACAGCATAAAGTAGTTCTTTATTTTGCAAAAGCTTTATGGTTTTATTTTGCAAAAGCTTGACAGTTTTGAATAATGTCTTGCTTCTATCTGTATAACCAACCAGCGTTGGTATGACCATCGCGCCGGCGCCTCACGCACAACATATTTTTTGCGACATTTCAGCTTGTTCATTATCAAAATAAAATACAGTTATAGACACAAATAAAGTTACACTGCTCCGTTGTACAAAATTGGTTGCGTTCAGCGTGAACAGCGCCTCACTGTGCTGTTATAGCCGATGTAAAGGATGATGTTTTATGTCAATGAAAGTACAAAGCCTAGCCTATAATAAATAATATTTTAGCATCCAGATACATTGCAAATATGGAAACATTTGGATTCGTGCCGAATGAGAGGTAGGCATGCCTACTAGCATTTTAACCTGCATTATTTCTGAATGTAATAGGTCTAATAAAATGCGACGTGAGCCTATACGCAACTTATGTTTTTTTACCACTCTCAAAACACAATCTTATACAAGTAGCGTTTTTTGAACAATGCAGCAAATATTTTTAAATATCTTAAAAATACTTTTATGTCTTTAAAGTGTTGATAGATTTTTTTCTTTTGTTTCGTAGCATACATTTGGCCAAAATCTAGAAAAGATTATGCTGTAATGGCTGTGACTAAGCGCAGCGGGTTATAGGCTAACGTTACCAGATCTCTTCCTGTTTTTTTTTTTTTTCCTTTTTCTCTTTGAGTAAAGAAAACGCTGCATTTTATTATTATTGGCAAAGAAAATTGTTTTAAAAAAAATAACATTATTAACCGGCATTTCTTCTACCCAAACCGGTTTCGGAACGGTAATACAGAGGAACGGCGGAACGGAAAGGTTAAAATATCGATTTTGCTCTGAGTGAACGATTGAAATTTTTCTTCGTTTTCAAGCCCTGCTTTATAGTTTTGTTGCAAATGAATTAAGAATTGATAGTGCTATATCTCGGCTTAAACATAATTATACTGTATACATAAATTTAAAAATCTGTAAAAAAAAAATAAAATAGGGCACTATATGCGCTGTATGAATAGTGAAGGAATTTGCGTATTTTAATTATAACTGTCATGTTTGTGGTTTTTCATCATTAAACAGTCCTTTTAAATAAATATTCAGAAACACATGCAGTGCTACTATGTATTTTTTCTGTTTAACTTTTATTAAACTGCAAATCAAAACAGAATTGGCCTATACCTTAAATAAGGATAAATTATATTGGAACGCATCTCCAAATTAATCGCACACAGATGCACGTTGCCATTACAGTAGTCAGCGCCGAACAACATGCAGGCAAATAAAATATAAACTGAGGTTACAAAAGTGATTCAGTCAAAGTCAGTGAGGGATTTTCTTTTCTTTTGTTCTTTGATTAACATCAATGACTGGCGGCAGCGGCTGCTGTCAATGCACGGATCCAATACACCCTTGTTTTCTTTCTTTCTCAACTCTTTACGTTCACTTAAGACAAAACCGATTGTATTTATGGGATATTTTGATATAATTCGGTGTGTATTTGTCCATTCGAATGTGTAAGAATGCGAGAAAGAGAGCTCAGTCCAGTGTTCGCGTAGCCTATGTAAGAGGTGGCTTTTGTGCATGCGCTTTGTGTGTGCGCTGCACAGAAAACAGCACGCGAGTGCAGAAATTAGTTCTATTTCGTCTTCTTGCAGTTGATTCTTTTGAAATCGCAATAAATGTGCATACAGGAATCAAGCAGCAGAATCAAAATGTAATTTTATAACAAGTAATTCAATTCCTGACCTTACGCATCTGATCTGATTTCCAAAATTGGAATAGCTTTTCGATTCCCAACCCTCCTACTAAATTATTTCATTCTTGCATGCAAAAAGACCTGTATGGTGACTATGGGGCTATGTAAAATATTTTTTACAACTTACTAGGTTCATCATTTGTCATTTTTTTCTGATAATGTCAATAATCGTCTGTTACCTAACTGTTGACAACATCGCGATACTTACGAGACATCGTCGATATACAATAATAACGTCATGTCGCCCAGCCCTATTCTAGACTACTGAATATTGAAGTAAAAAGCTAAACTAGACGCTTACAATGACATTGAAACTCCTCTAATATTTCTAAACAAAAGTATGAAAGAAACATTTTTATGCTTGTAATGCCACTTCAAAAATATTAAAATGCATCTTGGTTACTGTTAGGGGCAAGCAACAAATCTATGCAGAAAATCTACACCTTCATTTTTAAAAGTATTAAATCTTACAAAAATTAAAATAAAAAATAAATGAACAAAACAAATAAATAAAATTAAATCCAATCTCTTGAATTGCAATGCACTTCTCCATACCTGAGGTAATTCACTGAATATAAACGCTTCTCATTTCATATTAACAATGGAAGTGAAGGTGCAGATATAAAGCTTAAGAGCTTCATTTCCATATCATACTGCTTTAACAAGCTTGTTCTTTTTCTTTCCAAATATGAAGTGGAGGGCAACAGACATTCCCTGCATTATGACATGGCATTTTGATAACAGCAATAGAAATTACTTCGATTTCTAGAGGTTTACCTATCTACCTGTATTTCTACTGCCCACCCCATCAATTTAGTGAACTCTGTCATCAACAAGCCCAGGGCTCGACATTAAGGACTGCCCGATGGCCGGGGCCCAGCGTGAAAGATGTTCAGGACAGTTGACGAATTTGTCACTAGCCCAATTGGGACACTGCTGCGTCGTCATGAAGATTTATAATTTGCACTTGTTTTTAAGCCTTGCCAATTTAAAAATTCTAGCGATTTTAAAACATTCAAGCAAGACGCGAAAGACAACTCAATTCAGTATTCGTGCACTGCGTTCTGTGTGTACAGTGCACACAGAGAAACACGTCTTGAATGGACAAATACATAAGTATGACAAAATACCCATCTTGGCGAGTAACTTTGTAGCTTTTACAGTGGAGTATAGATGGACCGGTGGACTGACCGTTTTTGGTTTTATTTCAACAGATCTCAAGAGAGGTAAGAGGCAAGAGATGCTGAAGACGGATGCAAAGAGGAGAAAATACGGTAGCAGGCAGAGCAAGATCACAGTTCACGAGTTGGGGGTCTCTGTGGGGAACTGACTGTCTTCAGAAAAGTTCACATTGCGTTTTCATTTAACCTCTGTATAATGCATTTAAAGTAGTGTTAATTACAGCTGCACTGCTTTGTTTACAGCTGTAACCATGGAAACGCTGTATTACTGCTGTTCCATAAGCGCCACCTGCTGTCAGAGAGTGAATTTGCCGTCTGCGGTTTTTCCTAAAGCATCTTTCATTTGTATCTTTGTTCTATATATTCAGTTGTGCTATTGCATGTAATTTATTAATTTGTTCTTATTTATTGGAATAAAATATAATGTGGGTCAAAATGATAATGATAACAGCAACTATTTTATTTTTTTTGGCAGGGCCAGTGAAAATTTTGTCAGGGCAAGTAAAAATTTGAACCACTGGTCCAACCGGGCCAGTAGAAAAAAATCCTTAGAGTTGAGCCCTGAAGCCTAAAAAGGCATAGCATGAAAAAGCAGCAAATAAACCCCCAATAACTCTTACTTACCTGGTTAAACCACTGCATGGAAAACATGTTCAATTCTTTACGGTTTACAGGATATAAATGCGCATAGAGTCTCAAGATAAGCACACCAGCAGGCCTTAAACCCAGCAGGCTGGACTCAACAGAACAGCTTCCCCAAAATTTGCGTCATATCTTCAACCATTTTTGAAGCAGAGGATTTAGAATTTTTGCTAGCTGGACACCATTAGCATTTCCTAGAATCTGCCAATCTGGGAGATCATGCAAAAACAGTAAGGATCTTAAATGGAAGAACACAAGCTTACCCCATGCCCTGAGCTGAAAACCTCCCACCTCGCCTTCCAGCTCCACCTGCAGGAAAGAAAGATGAAGTCAAACCAAAACCACTAACCATTTTCATTCTAGTTAACCATTGCCAACAGTGGTACTTACTAGGGGTGTAACAGCTCTGTTTAAAATTTAAAAAAAAACACAATCGAACTGTACTCTTCTCCACCCATGGTTTGGCACGCATTTGGCACGGTTCAACTTAAATCTGACAAGGCATCTGTAATATGGTTTGTTAAAAATAACACGTAAAACAGACAGAGTTCGCCTATTGTGTTTCTGTCGATGGATACACATTCTGGTTTTCCAACACATTTCAACAACAGCGATGAACAAAAAAAAAACCTTGTACAAACCAGTCACTCTTTGTAAACTTTGTTCAATGCGAGTGCCGTATGCTGGAATATGACGTCATTTATGCCGTCATAACCCGGGTGTTGATAGTGCACGTGCACAGGTGAGACCTGAACAGCACACACTGCTATCCGTTTAAACTAAACTCATCAAGCCATGCCAGTTTAAACATTCAAGAGCCAGAAGACGCGAATGAGAAATCGCACGGGCAGTGAGGAGATTTGTGTGTGCTCAGAGAGCGCACAAATATTGAGTCTTGTGTTTGATTGGACAAATTCACACAAAAATAATAGCATGCCCGTCTTGGTCAGTATCCTAGCAGACATAGTCGGTTGTACGTACAGTGTCAGTGTACTGGATCCGTGTATAGCAGGGCTGT